TTGAGACCATACTCATAAGTGAAATAAATCAATCTCGCATGTGTGAATACCGAATAGTTTCCCTAATGTAAGTAATGATTCAAATATATAAAAATATGTGGTAATCATGATTCCCCATTAGGTGGCCTTGAAGCCTTATAAAGTTTTCACTCATTAATTAGAAAGGCTTTATTCTGGGCTTCTTGATATGAAAATATTTGAAGCTAGAGTATATGAAGTTTTACCCAAATATTTCAAGGAAAAAGACACTATGGTAACTACTATTAAGTCAGGTTATAAGGTGGTGAAGTACTAGGTTATTGAAACAGTCATGCTGTGACCTCTATTGTTATATTGTTATGTCCTGTTTTATCTCAATCTCCCCCTTATTGTTTCAAAAAAAAATTATTTAGTCATTTCTTATGTTTGTCTTAATTAAAGAAAAAATTCAAAAAAATTAGGATATATAAATAGTAACTCTTTTCGATTTCCTATTAACTTGTTTTGAAGTCCTGTAGTACTCCCACGATCTTGTTTTGACTGATTAGACTCTGTTCCATTCTATATGATAGTATCAAGTTTGAAGACATAGGCAACTACTTTGAAGACAATAAGATTCACTAAGATACCCATTCTGGTTTGACTATTGTCTTCTTTGGAAGTCCTGTAATGTTTACAATGCCTAAGTTTTATTGGTCTTGTTCTCTACTGTTTTGTCCAACTTTATAATATCTAATGAGATAGACAATTCTTTTTAAGGAAACAAGGGACAACGTTGATAACCATTGTTGATAAACTTGTACTCTGTTCTACACCATGTGCTATGTCTATCTTTGGTTTTGACTGACAGCTTTGTTTTGCCATATTTGACTGTATTCTTCCCCCCCCCAAAGAAAGTAATAAGCACTAAGGAGTAATAAAATCCAAGATGTGTAAATTTTGTTGTAAAAAAGAGAGGGAAAAAAAAAAAAGAAAGAAAAAGAGCTCTAACGGATATAACAGCAAGTGTGTTTGGGGGTGTTAAATAGCTGACTTTATCAATGTTTTTGGAACATTGAACACAGCTGTTTGCAGTCTCCCTGTTTGAATGTCCACCTTGTGTTCTTTGATACTGTGATTTGAGGAACTATTTTCAAGAAAATAGTGTGTAATCTACTAGCAGGTAATTTCTTACTGTTATGGTTTTTTGTTTTGTTTTGTTTTGTTTTGTTTTGTAGTTCTGTATTGCGTGTACCCTTACGCCGCTTTGGTTTGTTTTGTGTTTTTCTCTTTTTCCTCTTAAATAAAAAAAAAAAAAAAAAAAAAGAATATAACTGCATATATATTTAAGTGTATAAGATAGATAACCATATTACTGAGTTTTATTGGATTATTGAACAAAACTGTTTCCAGTCTCACTGTTTGAAAGTCCACTTTATATGCTTTAATTTTGTAACTTGAACAACTATTTCTAAGATAATAATATGTGACCTATTAACTAGTGTTTTCCTGTTTATTTTTTCTGAAATTCTGTATAACTTGTACCCTTTTTCTGTTTTTTTTCTCCTTAAATAAAAAAATGCCATCATGATTATCCTAAAAAAAAAAAAAAAACAGCACTGAGATTCCATCTCACTCTAGAAAGAATGGCTGCCATCCAAAAATCAACCAATAACAAATGTTGGTGGGGCTGTGGGAAAAAAGGAACACTTTTCCACTGTTGGTGGGAGTGTGGACTGGTAAAAACCATTATGGAAATCAGTGTGGCAATACCTCACAAAACTAGGATTAGAGGTCCCATTTGATCCAGCTATTCCCCTTCTGTGTATTTCCCCAGAAGTATTGAAAACATCATTTCACAGTATTCGTCTTGTTTATAGTAGCACAATTTGTAATAGCTAAATTGTGGAAACAACACAAATGTCCATCAACTGTGGAATGTATTAAAAAAGATGTGGTATTTTTATATAGTGGAGTATTTCTCAGCTATAAAGAATGGTAAACTCGAGGCTTTTATAGGCAAATGGATGCAACTTGAGACCATACTCATAAATGAAATACATCAGACTCACATGTGTAAATATCATTATTGTCTCCCTAGTGTAAAAACCAAATACTAAAAGAGTAAATAAGATCCAAAATATACAATAGATAATGTGAAAATGAGGGAAAACAAGTGCTCAAAAGAAAAGAACAACTGGGATAGGAAAAAGGAGAAAAGAATGAAGGGAAAAGATTAGTATGTTTAGAAATACACATATATGTGTGTATATATAGTGATAGATTACTATTAATCTGTTAATTCATCAAAAAATGATTTGTTTTCATTGTTTGATTGATCATTTTTTCATGCCTAAATCTTATAATCTGAACAACTGCTTTGAAGATAACAACATGCAATATGTTAACTAGTATTAATTTCCTATTACTTTGTTTCAAAATTCTGTATCATTTTAATCCTTTTTTTTACTTAAAAAAAAAAAGAATTGGAAGCCTGCCCTTGTAGATATTAAAAGTTCTTATTAAGCTGTTCTTAAGACAGTGGCATTGCTATAGAAATATACAAGTTGACAAGTGAAAGCCATCCATAATTTGTCACATGAGAGAAGTAGCTTTGCAAATCTCTAGGAAAAAGGAGAGACTATATAATAAATGCTGCTGGGACACAAAACTGAAATTACATATATACACAAGCATCAACTTAACATGAAAGTTAAACTATGTCACTGTTGAGAGGCTGAAAGGAGCGTCTTTATCCCAGAGTAAAAATTTGTTTTTAAAACAATACATAATGTGCCAAAAATGAAAAAAAAAAAAAAGATAAATTCGGGTGAATTAAAATGAAAGCATCTATACTTGGACATCATAAATAAAGTAAAAAGACAGAAGTATTTGCCAACTTATAACTTGAGAGTTAATAGAGTCAGTTATATGAAACACTATGTATGAATAAGTCAAAGACATGGAGCAGCATTTCATTCAGAAGGAAATATGAATAGCAAATAAGTAAGTTAAATGGATGCTCAAAAGCCTTAGCAATTGAGAAGTGCAGCTCAAACATGCAGTGAGACTATTTAACCTGAGAAGTTTGTCAGGACTAAGTGTTCCTTGGCTTTAAACTACAAAATTTGAAATTCATTTATTCATTCAATGTACATTTAGTTTGTACCAGGCATTCTTTTACGTGCTTTGTTTATATTAGTGAATTAAAAGTGGAACTTTTTGCGTTGTAGAGGATAATTGTGTGTGGGAGACTAAGAATTTGGGTTAGATAATTAAAAGAGAAAATATCGATAAGAATACAGCTATAAATATTGCACTAATGATATAAACGTAAGTAATGACCAGGATTCTGATACAGATATAGAATGTTAATACTATGTAATTTATATATGCAGATTGAAGTATAAAATAATACTTAGGAAACACAGTAATAAATAACTTAAGATTTCATTTTATGTACTGCTATTTTCGTACATAGTTTCCACACAAATTGTAGTGTAAAATTGAAAGAGGCCAAAATTTATTTTTTCAGAGATATCAATTAATTCAACAAATAAATGAATATGTCTGTTGGCTTATGATGTGGTTATAGTGTAGTGAAAAAGATAGTCAAAATTCTGGCACAATTCTTTGTTGCTCTCAGGAAAAAAGCAGCCACCACAAATGGCTGTATTGTCAAAAGCTTGTAAATCAAACAAGAAAATTTTGATCAATATTTAAGATTATAATTTTAATTTTAAAGTTGAAAATGAAGTAGCAGGATTTCTTGTCTAGTTGATCTATTTGTGACAGTGGGTTATTGAGGTCCCTCATTATAATAGTAGTAGTGCTTATTTGATTTTTTCATGTCCATTAATATTTGTTTTGTATAGTTGGGTGCAACTGGCATTTGGGACATATCTAAGTATAATTGTTATCTCATCCTCTTGGATTGTTCCCTTTATAAGGATGTAGTGACCTGCTTTATCTCTATTAGTCAATCTTGGGTTGAATCCACTCTATCTGCAAATAGAATAGCAACCCCTGCTTTTTTCTGGGTTCATGCCACATGCAGTATTATTTTCCATCCTTTGACTTTCAGTCTGTGAACTTTTTTTGAATTAAATATGTTTCTTGTATGCAGCATGTTGTTGGATCTTGCTTCTTGATCCATTCTGTCAATTTGTTTCTTTTGATTGGTCAATTGAGACCATTAACATTGATGGTTATAACTGATTTGTATTGTTATATTGTTTTCCTGCTTGTTGGTTCCCTTTTTTCCCCCTCTGTTTATTTGCTTGCCATGCCTGGTGAATTCATTCTGTTGGGCTTCATGGTATGATAATTCTTGTTATCTTTTTCTAGAATACCCTTCATAACAATATGGAGTATTAGTTTTGTGGTTCTGTCACAGCCTACCAGTGACAGTAAAGACTCACCTTGAAGGGGACTTATTTTCTTTTTGTTTTTTTTTTCTCCTCTGATATTCTCTCTTTTTGTGTGTTTTGTTTGTTTGTTTGTTTGTTGTTTGCCCTTTCTCAGCTGCTCACCACTCTGCTATTTTCCTGGATGTCTGAGGTAGCAGGATTTCTTAAAACTCAAAAGGCCCATGCATAAAGAATTTGCTTTTTGTGCAATAATTACTAATTTTCTTAACTTAGAATTGGAGAAGGAAACTGAGCATATTTCAAAATCACATCCAAATGTTATAGCTGACCATTAAGAAATTATCTTCCTGAATGAGGGTAGGAAAAAAATGATTATATATTCATTGAATACTACTTCCTAATGTCTTGTTGTTCATTTTATATTTTACAAGTGATTGACTTAGAGTTTGACAGAGCATTGAATGTAGTTTTTAGTGGGTGCCATGTAATTTTTGGGTCCATTTATCATCTAGGGTGTTATAATTATCCAAGAAGACTATAAATGCCAGCTGTTATTTCTATTTTCTATGGTCATTAATAGGATTTAAATTATATAAGACTATTAAATTGGAAAAGAATCACCAGTAAGGCAATTTTATTTATCAGTTTTTTTTTCACTTGTTTTTAAAACAGCATTGATGCTGATGGGACAATGACAGTGGACTGGAATGAATGGCGGGACTACTTCTTGTTTAATCCTGTTACGGATATTGAGGAAATTATCCGTTTCTGGAAACATTCTACCGTAAGTGTGCTTTGCTTTTTGGAGCTGTGAGCTGTAGGCATAATTGTTATGCAGAAACACTGTGTGACATTAATGGGACAGGGTGTCCAAGTCCCAGTAGAGTCCTTAACTTGTAGGGTCCTGTTTATACTGTTAGGCATAGGTTTATAGAATATTTTAAAACCCCCAACACTGCGTAAACATAGCTATTCTCAAAACTTGGAAGAAGTACAGCCTTGATGAATAAGCTCTCCAGATTTTATTGGCACTTAAATGTCTTATCAAACGGAAATCTAAAAGCCATTGGCTTTTATTTTTTATAGATATGTATTGCTCAAATGGTCTCAAAACATCATGGTTGGTATAGATTTATTTCCTTGGCCATTCATGGTAAAGCTAACGATCTCTTCTGAAACTGGCTTGTTAAATTGACTAGATTTATCTCTGGGATAAGGCATATAAAATAATTGTTGAAGGCTACAGAATTCTCTTGGCTCATTGCTGATTTGTAATTCATATTATAAATTCTGTACAACTTTCAAATTTTGATTAAGTTCACTAATGTTCTACTAAAATATATTTGTGTAAATTAACTTCATTTGTGTAATCTCCCAAAATCATTGGGAGCTCTCTGAAGGAATTTTTTTCATAATAGGTTTGTCTTCATGGATTTTAATAAATTAAATATACATTAAATGAAGCCTAGAATTCAGTTTGCCACTAGTAACAATGTCCAAGCTTAAAGAGAACATTATAAAATGGTCATTTTAATCTATGAGTATAAAATAATATTAGATTGGTAGTTCCCAGGTAAATTTTATACTTAGTGATATTTTACACAATTTTACTTAGTAGTTGACCAGGTAAATTTTATACTTATGTGATTCTTATGTTCATGGTTTTTATTTTATTTTGGGGGTAGTTGGTAACAAGATTATAATCCTATATCCATTTTATTGATAGTAAAATTAAAGGAAAGAGAGGATTACTATGAAAGCATAGTATAGCTCTTTACTGTTCTACTTTTGCCTATAAAATCTTTGATGATAAAAAGAATTTTTTAAAAAAAATTTTCTTGTAATGCTGGGCTCAAACCCAGAGCTTTAGGAGAATATTAGACAAATGTTGTATCACTGAGCTACCGTCTCAATCTCCAAATAATATCAATAGTAAAACTGTAAAACTAATGTCATTTTAGAACTTTGATTTTCTCAAATTATATTTGCGTCTATAGTAATGTTTAGAATGAATTGAAAGAGTGATCACTTCATGCAATACTCCTTGTTAGCTACTTTTATAAAGAATCTATTGCATGTTTTAAATGACATTATATTTATAAAAAATTATCTTAGCCAGTCAGTATAAAAGATGAGTGGGGGCACTTTCTTATATATAGTTTTTAAAAATTTCTTTCTTATATATTTAAAGCATGTATCATTTGTATAAAGTATAATGTGGATATAATTTTAGATAGGGTATCTTTGAAGAATTACAAGCTAATTTCTTGACAGATGTCATCAGTAGCATTGTGAAAGTGGATATAATGGAAAGGAATTTATACTATTATAAACTATGCTTTCATTATTACTTAGACCAACAAGAGAAATATCACTCAATCTATAAAAAAAGAGAGTTTTATTTACTGGTTTTATAAATTTATTATTGTCAATTTTAATTTCTTATGAACTGATACTGGATTATGTTTCATATGAACAGACTATTTATAATCATCTGTGTGCTCAAATTGGTTCATTATAAATACAGAAGAATAAAGTTGATTTTTTTTTTCCTTTTTTCTTTTGTCTTTTTGAGACAGGGTCTCACTTTGCAATTTAGGCTGGCCTTGAGCTCACTTTGTAGCCCAGGTTGGTCTTGAACTTGTAACGATCCTCCTGCCTCAGCCTCCTGAGTGCTGGTATTACAGGGTGTGTCACCCCACCTGGCTAAGTTGATTGTAACTTAAATAACATGATTCTTCTCTAAAACAAAACAAAAAAACTTTATCTATTTTTAATTGAAGCAATGTGATGATATTTTTCCACTTTAACAGGGAATTGACATAGGGGATAGCTTAACTATTCCAGATGAATTCACAGAAGATGAGAAGAAGTCTGGACAGTGGTGGAGGCAGCTTTTGGCGGGCGGTATTGCTGGTGCTGTCTCACGAACAAGTACTGCTCCTTTGGATCGCCTGAAAGTCATGATGCAGGTAAGCCTTGCAGTCTGTGTCTGGGTTTCACTTAAAATTCTAGAATACTGAGACGTGGTTCATTCAAACAGAAGTTTTAAATTCTCAGTAATAGTTTTTCATATATACATAGATTTTAAATTTTGAGTTCATTGCTATTAAGTGTTCAGTTGAATCGTCAGTTGTTGGTACATGTATGTAATAAATTTTAATTTTTGGCATTCTATGACTTTTTTATTTCTGGTACTGGAAATTCAACCTAGAGCCTTTGCACCAAGCACATGTATCCCCAGCCCTTTCTTTCGTTTTTTGTTTTGAGGTAGGGTCTTATTGCACCCTAACTTGCTATCTTTCTGCCTCAGCCTCTGTATCAATTAGGGGTCACTAGAGAATATATATATGTATGAATTTACACATAGATAGATAGACAGATAGATTTTCAAGGTAGGCTTGTAATGGCTGCCCAAATGTCCTTCTATGACATTTTGTCGGGTAGCTGCAGTGTCCCAGTGAAAAGTCCTGGAGCTCCCGCTGGAGCTGGGTGCCAGACCATACTGGCAGGCTGAAGAATCTGCCTTACACAGCTACAGGGTCTGTGCTGGAGGCCTGAAGGAACTGAGAAGGATCCAAAGCTGTGGTGAGGACTGCAGGCTGGGCTTCCTCTGAGGAAACAAAAGCGGGGCCGACTTCCTTCTTACTCCTCTTCTGTTTCATTCAGGCTACAAGCCTGTTGGTTGGCCTCACACACACCCAGAGGGAGTCTTCCCTTTTCAGTACCAGACACACCCAGAACTGTGCCCAGCTACGCTGCTGGTTGTTTGTTTCTACAGAGTTGACACCACAGTGAACTCTCATAGCCTCCCACACTGCTGGGGCTACAGGTGCACAAAACCATGTTCAGTTGACTATTGAAATATTTAATGAAAGGAAGTCTGTGGTCATCACTGTATTTCCCATCTTTTTCATGTACTTTATTAAAAGTGGGGTATTTTGAAATCTAGAATCTTGGGATAAGGATGGAAGTTTACCAGTTATTCTAAAGTTAAGATTAGCAGGAAAAAGACCTGTATTTATAACCTGACTTTGCTATTTACTTGCAGTGTGTGTTTGGGCAGAACAGAGTGAAAAGAAGGAGATAAAGAGCCTATGATTCTTATACTGTATTAAACCTGTGAGGTTCAATTTTTCTTCTTTGTGAAATAGGAATAAGAATACCAGACAAGGGTGACTGTAAAAGTTAAACATTGAAAGTCTGAAAAAATATTGGACCAGTAGAACATAATAGTTGTTTAAAAATATTTTTAAAAGTTGTATCTGTTAAACCTAGGTTAACACTTTTCATATTTGCTCTTAGATCTTTCTACAGAATAGTATCTGACAATATTTTAAACTATCTATCCAAATTTTGCAATTTATTTGGGGACAAAGATAGTGCTTAAAGAAAAAGGGCAGGAATTGTTTATATTGTTTTTCTGTAGGAACAATAGCAAATTGACTTTAAGAGCTTGAATAAACATTCATTTTTTCCTTCATATTTTATTATGAAGCTAATTTATTTGAAATAAAATGGAGTTTTTTTCAAGACTTTAGTTTCTGCAAATTTGAGGGGTTCCCAAAATCACTTTTGGGTTTGAGGCTGCTGGAATTCAAAGAACTCACTTGCAGAATGTGTACTCATGATTTATTAACGATGAAGATTAAAGTCAGCCAAATAAAGGAAGTACAAAGGGCAGGGTGAAGGGAAACTCGCAATGCAGAGCTTCCCTGTGCTCTTCCTGCGGAATCTGCACGTGTTACTTTCTGGCAATGTGTGTGTGGCAGGAAGACAGTACTGCAGCCATCAGGAGATGTTTCAGTTGGTATTCCATGGCCTGATCTACAATTTGGTTCATGTTCTTTTATGAATATTGCTTATAATCATTTTAATTTTGATCAAGTCTTCCCTGACTGCTTTCCCATGCTGAAGACACTAACTGTTCTTAGTTTTAGAAGCAGCCACAGACCTCTGTCTCAAAGAGAAAGGAATAAAGAAAGGTGCCAATAATCCCACCCATCATTACACATTTCCTCAAACTGTATTTTGTTTTATTCCTCAAACTGTATTTTATTTTTAAATGTCTATTTTGGCAGTTATAAGCAGTGCAGTTGTGTGATTATTTGAGAAATAATGTCAACAAGGCCAGCCGTATTTTATATCATTTTGCTTTTATTTTTAGGTTCACGGTTCAAAATCAATGAACATATTTGGTGGCTTTCGGCAGATGGTTAAAGAAGGAGGTATCCGTTCCCTTTGGAGAGGAAATGGAACAAATGTCATTAAAATTGCTCCTGAGACAGCTGTTAAGTTCTGGGCATATGAACAGGTAATAATTATCATCTGTGTAAATGATTAACAAAGAGGAGTTAGTAATACGATTCAATAAAGATTAGCACACAATGCTTTTGGGATTTTTGTTTTAGTGCAGGATAATTGTTCACATTCTCTCCGTGAGGAGTTTCTCATGGGAGATTTTGCTAGATAAACTCAGCAGTTCCCGGTGGCTAAATTCTGGGATTCCCAACTTTATAATATTATTTATAAAGACAGACTTCTTTGTTCTTTGCTAAGGAGTTCTTAAAGGAAAGGTATGATTTTAGCCTATGTTGGAGTCTTAGTAGATGCAGGGTACTAACATAAGTTTTACGAAAGGCTTCTTATCTAATGTCTGGGAGGAAAACTGTTGAAGTGAAGACCTTTGCTAACGCTGACATTGCTCTAAGTGCTCTAAGTGCAGCTGAATTGCTGTGAAGGCTCCATAAAGGCAGGTGCTTGGCTTGGCTTCTCTGTGCCCTCTAGCAAGTAGGCAGAGCTTGTGTTGGATTCTACTGAGTACTGAATCGGTCACTGCAAATGATGCATCAGAGTCTGAATCAGCTTCTCTGCTGACTTCTACTTACTTAGACTCTTTATTGTTTCAGCCTAACCTGTTGGTGAGAGGAAATACCTCCCACAGGGTTACGTTTTCCAGCTTCTTCTTTTCAAGGTCATTTGCAGAACTGTCTATTTGAACATCTACAAAATCATTTTCCTGTCATTTATTTCATCATTGTTTACCATGGGTTATAAAGGAATTAAAATTTAACTCTGCCCCATATTTTTTGTTATATTTTAAATAGACTTGAGATTATTCTGGAGAATGTTTTGTTACTGAATAACAGAACATTCTTGGAGAGATTACTGGATCTAGTGGTATCCATTTCTTGTCTTAGGGAAAAGAGAATCCAAGAAGAAAAGCGAAGAATATCTATCTTCTAGGACTTTACTTAGAATGTAGCTTTGGGGAAGACATTATCCTTAAGTGAATGTAAGCATTCAAATCATGGCCTTTAAGAGATGGTATTCTAGATATTCTTAGATTTTTCTATCTTTTAAAATAGAAAAGCCAGAACCTAAAATGGTTAATTATTAGAAGTTAATGCCATTATTCCCAGAAGAACTGAAAGCATCATACCACAGTGATATATGTGCACCCATGTTTATAGCAGCACAATTTGTAATAGCCAGATCTTGGAAACAACCTAAGTGTCCATCGACTGAAGAATGGATAAAAAAGTTGTGGTATTTTTATACAATGGAGTACTACTCAGCTATAAAGAATGACCGCATTGAGACATTTATAAATAAATGGACGCAGCTTGACACCATACTCATAAGTGAAATAAATCAAACTCACATGTATAAATACTGAATAGTTTCCCTAGTGTAAGAAATGATAAGAATACATAGAAGTATGTGGTAATCATGATTCCCAATCATATTGGTTTGAAGCCATATAATGTTTTCACTCATTAACCGCAATGGTTTTAACCTGGGTTGTTTGATTTTAGTATCTATGATAGCACAAATAGCTATTTTGAAGAAAGCAACACAACATAAAAGCTAGTGCTGATTTAATATCATCTTGTTTTGAAGTCTCATCAAGCTGTAGTACATCTGTTTCCACTGGTTTTAACATGTTGTATCTTACTATATTTTACTATATGCTATAGTATAAACAAAACTCTTTATAGGCAAAGAGATAATATAGAAACCATTGTTCGTTTTCTATTAGCAGGTTCTAAATACCCTGTAATTCTTGCATTCTTTTGAAAGGCTTCACACTGTCTAGATATGCTTGGTATTATAGCATGCAAAGTTACACTCAAATAATTTAAGGAAAGAGGCACTATGGTGACTACTATTATGTTAGATTATCTGGTGGTGAAACACAATGATGCTTGAATTACTTGGTTCTGCCCTGCATTGTTCTACTACAATGTCCTCTCTTATCTCAATCCCCCCCCCCCTTTTTAAATGAATCTATTTTCTCTCATTTTTTTTTAATTAAGGGAAAACTAAATTAAAAATAACGGGACATATTATAGTAACTTTTTTGTTGTCCTATTAACCTGACTTGAACCCCAGTAGTGCTCTCCCCATCTTGTTCTGTCTGATTATTACATATTCTATTTTGTTTGATAGTATCAAGTTTGAAGGTATAGGCAATCACTTTGAAGGCAATAAGGTATACTATGATGCCCAATATGGATTGACTATTATCCTTTTTTTGAAGTCCTGTACGGTCCTCAGTGTAGGTTTTATTGGTTTTGTTCTGTACTGTTTTGATCAATTCTATTATACCTGATGATACAGACAACTCAATTTAAAAATAGCAAGAGGCACAATGGTAACCACTTTTGATCACCTGGTATTCTATTTTTGCATCACGTGCTATGCTCACCCTTCTGTTCTAACTGACTCTGTTTTGTTTAGTCACATTTGGTTTTATTCTCTTCAAAAAAGTAATAAGAACCATGAAAGTAATAAACCCTAAAAGCCTAATTGTTACTGTAAAAAAGAGAGGAAAATAAGGTGGACTAAGGGATATAACCGCAGGTATGTTTGAGTGTGTAGGATGGAAAACCATATAACTGAGCTTTTGTTGGATCATTGAACGGAACTGTCTCCAATTTCACTGTATATGTCCACTTTATATGCTTTAATTTAGTGATATGGACAACTGTTTCTGGGAAGATAATATGTAACCTATTAACTGGTGATTTTGTACTGTATATATTTTTTTCTAGAAATACTTATTATTTGTACCCTTTTACTGCATTGTTTTTTTATGTCCTTTCTTTTTTCTTCTTCTCTCTTTAAATAAAAAAAAAGAAGACGTTAATGCCATTATTTCAATATGCAGGAAGTTTGGCGTATTTGCAAGTCCACAGTTACTCTATGTGCATTATACTTTATGCCAGATTCTCACTCTGGATACCACTCACAGGCACCCTTTATTTCCATCCATTCAAGCTGAGTTCTTGTTGTAGCATTCTGATTTTTTTTTTTGAGATAGGGTCTTGCTTTGTAGTCTTGGCTAGCTTTGAACTAGCCCTCAGGCTGGTCTCAAACTTTTGGCAATCCTTGTACCTCAGATGGGATTATAGCTGCAGCATTCTGATTTCTACATGACAACTCCACTTAGACATCAAGAGAAAGCTATTTATGCAGTGAGGTAAAGTATTCTTGTGGTTTCTGGGGCCTAGGATGCCACTCCATTTTCTCGCTGTCTGCCAAAGCCCTATTCATTCCAGCAACTTCCCGTGAGAAGCATTTCCCAGCCCAAATTAGTGTCTCCCCTGCCCAGTCTCTTTAACCTGCTAAATCGCAGGATATCTAGTTTTCCACTGGATCATGAAAACTCTTTAGTTACTTCAGGGTAAATATAATGTCATAGATATTTTCAAATTTCCCAGAATGCCTAGAAATCTCACTTCTCAGTTCAGGTAAGTTCTGTTCACCTAGTAACTAGAAGCTTAGAAAAAGAAGAGCATTTTTACCCTGGTCTATAGTGCTGTCAAATGCATTATCAGTTTGAGATAACGCTGTGTTCTGTTTGGGTTGTCATCATGATAGCAGTGGCACTGTATCACTGACAGGTAGCAGTGAAGTATGTTGTTCACATGGTATCAGCTGCCGCCTGCAGACTGACTGCCCTCCGTTCTAACATCTTCTCTTTACTCAGTCGTCCACTCGTGTGCTCTGTATCCCTGCATCTCTGCTTGACATCCCAGGGGTACCTCAACTCAACATGCCCACAGTGCCGTAGTCCTTTCTGTCCTATGTTCCACACTGCCACCCTTCCCTGTTTCTGCAGCACACATCCACCATTTCTCTTTCTCCATGTCACATGTGGTTAATATTCCTTATGACTTTATTCAAAATCTGTTTCCTCCAAGAAACAGTCTGCATTATTATAGTTCTCTTTGTTTCCTTCTGTTACATTTCTTTCACATTGAATTCTGATTATTTCAGTGCTTAGTCTGTCTCCTTTGTGAGACACTAAGTTTCCTTAGGCAATAGGTTTTTATTTCCAGAACCTTGCTCTGTGCCAGTCAGTCCTTACTGAATGAATGAGGGAACTGTTAGACGTGGAATTTGAGTTGAAGCTGACGGGGGCAGGGCCCCTTAAGAAGGGAAAGATATTTCAAGCGTGGATAGACACGTAGACACAAGAAAACATTATTTACTGGGGGAACGGAAGGTGGTTCCTTCTGCCTCTAGGACAGCGGAGTATACTTCGGGACATATAATGAGGAATGATGGTTGGACAGATAGACAGGAACCAAAGATGAAGGATTTCATCAGGAATATGGTGGGACTGTTGAGGTCTTCTATGCAGAGAGGTGAAATGGGTGCGGTTACACTGAAGGAAGATCATTTTGGGGGAAAGATTGACAAAAATATTGGAGGAGAGTGACGCTGGACTGGAGGCAGGGGGATTATCAGAAGGGAACATTTCAGTAAGAAATGATGAACACTAGTATAAGGTGATGGTTGTATGGATTGGAGAAGAAAATAAATTTTAAAAAATAGAAAATGCAATCAGAATTCACTGACTGCTTGGATAAGGAGGTAAAAAAGAGAGTTCCTAATTTGAGAGACTGTCTATATAAAGAATAGTAATGTCAGGTTCCATTCATGACATGCTGAGTCTGAGACCTCCGGGACATGTGTGTGGGGGTGGGAGGGACTGTCCAGTAGGCAAGTGGATGGCTCATCTAGAAGATAGGAGGCAGCTCTTTCATAGAAAGGTTGTTACTAACTTGAGTCATTGGATTGGACAGGCTCACTAAATAAGAGCATATTAAATGAGAAGTATTTTGGAAATAAGCCTCAAGGGAGGAGTAGGAAAAACTTGGAAAGGAGACTGAGAAGAAATAGCCAGAGGGAGAGGAGGAAATCCAGAGTAATGAGCTAGAAGTTAGTGGAAGGAAAAGATGTCATATATGGTACACAGTGGTGAATACAGGAAGAGTGTCGAGGATTTATCAACCCAGAGATATGGAAAGAGACACACACACACACACAGAGAGAGAGAGAGAGAGAGAGAGAGAGAGAGAGAGAGAGAGAGAGAAATACACCTTTCTAGATTACACCCCTAGTGATCCATCTCAAACCAAATCCTTCCTTCTAACAGCAAATCATCTATAGTGTCTCCATAATCAAATCATCTCCAAAAAGCCCTACTTCTGAGCTCGTGAGCCTTCTGGAGGGCATTCTAGGTCTAAATCACTAAGCGAGTTACCATTCCTGAGAAGGAGGAAGAAAGTGGTATTGGTAGCTGGAGAGAATGAACAAGGTATTCTTACAAATGTGAGAAAGAACTGAAGTTGACAAGGCTCGGAGAGCCAGTTAAATCCCCTTTAGGAGAGTCAGATTCTGTGGCCTTGGTAAACACTTAAAGTTTCAAGATGGGGCCAAATCTTTGTGACATGTTGGCATGGGTTGCGTTTAGATGTCCCCGCAATGACTCATATGGTCATAGGTCGGGGGGCTGTATCTACAGTGTGTGAAGCTGGAATTGTCTAATGGTGCAATGCTGGGGATCAAGGGCGCTAAGATTAAGAGTGTGAGTGCCACCCACTATCAGTACCCTAGATAAAGTATAAGGATAGAAAGAGCTGTGGTTGGCCCTGGTTGCTTTGGTACCTTCTGCCTGCCATGAACTCTTTCTCCTCTATGATGCCTGTCTGCCATTCAACCTGCCTTGGAGCCAGCTGATTATCGACATCCCTTTATCATATTCCCTTCTGATAAATATTCCTTTCTGTAGGTTTCACTACAAACTGAGAGCTAAATAAACTTTTCCTCCTTTGATTCTGGGAGTCAAATATGTTGTCTCAGAGTAAGAAAAGTAACTAAAACGTGTTAAGTGTCTAGTACCTACCTTATCTTTTATACGGGAAAATATCTAAAAATTATGAAAACTTTATTTTCTGTAAGCCTGGAAAAGAATGCTATCATTGATTTAACAAAAGGGTGAAGATCAAGTCTGTGGCATATCTGTGTTCTGTGGAAATCTTAATTGAAAATCATTGTCAAGTAAACTGAATGAATATTAGCATGTCAGGCTTGCTTTTCTCCTAGGCATGTTACTAAGAAGCAGGAGGGAGCTGCAGGATAATCAGATCATATCCAGAGCCTATTAAACTATCCAGCCTTCTTACCACTGGGATAAAATACCTGACATAGACAATGGAGAAAAGGTTTATTGTGGTGTCAGAAAGTTCAGTCCACAGTTGGCTGGTTCAGAGGCAGAAATGACATGGCAGAGGAAGGCTGCTCAAGCCAGGGGAGCCCAAACATTGAAAGAGTAAGGTGGGAGAGGGCAAGAAAGGAGGAGCAGGAGGAAAAGGAGAAAAGGAAGAGGAAGAAGAAAAGAGAGAGGAAGAACTCTGCCCTGCAGTATCACACTTAGTCTCATAGTACCTCCTAATATCACAGTTAACTAGGAGTCAGATTACACCCCTGGTGTAATTTTTTGAGGGACCTTTGGTGGATATTTTAGATCTAATTTGGTATTGCCATGGTTAGCTTGGGCTACCGTAACAAAATACCACTGACTGTGTGGTTTAAACAATAAAACTGTATTTTTCATGTTGTGGAGGTTGAAGTCCAAGATAAAGGGACCAGCCAATTTGGTTTCTAGTGAGGATTCCTTGCTATCTGCTTAGGTGATCTTTTCTTGGTGCATGTGTGAGTGGAAACTCTTGTAACGGTGATAATACTGAGACCTCCCCTCTTACGACTTCATTTAACCCTAAGTACTTCTGAAAGCCCTGTCTCTTAATACCACACGTTAGGGTTCAGTGTATGAATTTTGAGTGTAATACAGTTTAGTCTATAGCAGGTGTTAATATGCATTTAAAAATTTATTCGTACAGTACAAGAAGTTGCTTACTGAGGAAGGACAAAAGATAGGAACCTTTGAGAGATTTATTTCTGGTTCCATGGCTGGAGCAACTGCACAGACTTTTATTTATCCCATGGAGGTAAGTGCCATTGTGAAGTGTGACTCCTTATTGGTGTTTGCATCAGCTAGCTACTGTTGTGTTGTAAGTTATCCCAAAATGAACAGTTTAAAATGACAAGCATTTATTATTTCACTGTTTCTATGGACCAGGAATTTGGGAGCAACTCGCCTCAGTTCTTCTGGCTGTAGGTTTTTCAGAGCCTTACTATTGAGGTGCCAGCCAGGGCTGCACTGACCTTAGGCTCAGCTGGGAGGGTCTACTTCCATGCTCACCCGTGTGGATGTTGCATGGCTCACGGGCTGTTGGCTGCGAGTGTTGGTTCCTTGTTATGTGGCCTTTCTGTAGGCTTCACAACATGGTATCTGGTTTACAGGGTTGTGTGTGTGTGTGTGTGTGTGTGTGTGTGTGTGTGTGTGTGTGAGAGAGAGAGAGAAAGGAGGAGAGAGCATGAGAGAGAGAGAGAGTTTGTAAGAGTGAGCTTTCAAGGTGGAAACTTCTGTCACTTGTCACTTCTGCTGTGTTTCACTGATCACATAGAGCAAGTCTGCTAGAGTGCAGAAGGGGACCACACACAGCTGTGCATACTTGGAGACAAAGTTTGTGTTGGGAGCTGCCTTAGAGGCTGGCTGCCTTAGTATTGATGAGAATTATAACTCAATTCTTCTCCAAAGAGTTTATGTACCATGAATTTAATAATAGAACTTCAGGATTTGATGATAGGAAGATAATCCTAACTAGACAACTTTATGTAGCATAAGAGTTGGCAGGTCATACACCTGCGGATGGTTTAGAACAGCCTTAAGCTAAGAATGGGTTTTACATTTTTAAGAGGTAGATAAGTTCAAAGCAAAAAAAAAGTGGATGAATATGCAATAGGCACCTGCTATTTTAGGCCTATGAAGTCTGAAATATTTACTATCTCTGGCCTTTATGGAACACATTTGCCAACTTCTACTTTAGAGCAAAAACAGTACTGTACCCCTGAATATTATTATTGATATAACAAGGACTTTTTAATAATTAAGACCTAACCAAGATAAATACCTGTTCATCCTCTTAAATTCTCTCTCTCAATTATAGCATCACTTTCCTACCTCCAACATCTTATGCTTCAAGCTAGAAAGACTAGAGTTACCCTTTACATGAGCACTCCCCTTGGGACCTTTCACATCAAATGGTTTTATTTTGATATCAGTAGGTTATCTTTTCTCCATTTCCTCTGTCACTTCTCTCAGACAGATCTGCTTTGTAATAAATGTGTTTTCCTGATTCTGGCCTTAGCCCCTCAATAGAAGTAATAAAAAAGGGAAATCATATAATCAAACAATCATTTGAGTGACAAGACGTGCTAGGTATTTTTTTTTTCTCCAAAAAATTGCTTCTTTTGAATTTTATGATGCTAGAGTTAATATGAGTCATAATATTTTGTTAAATTCTTTCATATCTAGGTTTTGAAAACCAGGCTGGCTGTAGGCAAAACTGGCCAATATTCTGGAATGTATGATTGTGCCAAGAAGATTTTGAAGCATGAAGGCTTGGGAGCTTTTTACAAAGGTTATGTTCCCAATTTATTAGGTATCATACCTTACGCGGGCATAGATCTTGCTGTGTATGAGGTGAGTTTATAGCATTGGTTTGAACCTACAAATATAGTTATATAGCTAGTATTGCTAGAATTTGATTATATATAGAGAAGTAGATATAGAACATAGTTTATGACCAGACTCTGCCAGAATGTTTTCTTTGATATTTCTTTTCAAGTACCTGGTGATGTAAGATCACATATAGATGGAACTAATTTGTATTAGATTCCTTGTGAATTATTTTATTTAATGAAGAAAGTGGATTCAAATTCAGATAGTTCTTTTTAGCTCAGAAGATGGTATGATGGATGAGAGAGGCACAAATAAGTAAAAAAGTTACATTTTATTTGATTTCTTAAACTACGATGTTGACAAAACCAACTGACTAGAAGGATTGATCTCTTGTATCAAAGAGGCAAAACTCAGAATACAAACCTTGGATCAACCTTAACACATAAATCATTTCATAATATATCTGACAAACATTTATTGAGTAGACACCGTGTGCAATCAGCTGGGTTTGATAGTACAGGTTTTAGCGCCTGCCTGTGAGAAACTGCAGATCTACTGGAGAGAGAGACAAGGCAACAACTAAAGCACAGTGTGGGTGGGTGTGCTTTGATAGATGGAAGTCAGGGCTGCGTTTGGAAAGGATCAAGTCTGTTGCTGAGTGGGGAGGGTGAGTAGGATATATACGGTGTTAGAGAACGGATTGTTGATGTTTTGTTCAGTGTTTTCTCTGTGTTGTTTGTGCCTCTTCTTTCTTCTGCTTTATTCTTTTGTGTAGTGTTGCTTTTTTTTCTTCTAGTGACATATTTTTTATTCCCTTTTCATTTCCTTTTGTGTATGTCCTGTAAATATTGCCTCTGTGGTCACTATTGCAATTATATAAATGTTTGTGTTATAACAATCTATTGTAAACTGATTACAACTTTAACTTCAATTGTATATAAACTCCATTCTTTTTTTTTTTTTTCCTTTTTTTTAAAATTTTATTTAAGGAGAAAAGAAAAAAAAAGCAGAGAAAGGGTACAAGTTATACAGATTTGCAGAAAAAAAAATGAACAGTAGGAAATTACTAGTTAATGGATTACATATTGTCATCTTAGAAATAATTGTTCAAGTCACAAAATTAAAGCTTGTAAAGTGGACATTCCATCAATGATACTGCAAACAGTTCTGTTCAATGATCCAATAAAACTCTGTAATATCATTTTCTATCTTATACACTTAAATATAAATGCAGTTATATAGTTTAGAGCACTTTCTTTTCCTCTCTTTTGTACAATGACTATTACACATTTTGGGTTTCATTGCTCTCACGGTTCTTATTACTTTTTTGGAAGAGAGTAAAACCAAATGTGACATAACAGAACAGAATCGGTCAAGTCAAAAGGGTGGACATAATAGATAATGTGAAAACATAATACAAGGTGATCAACAATGGTTACCATAATGCCTCCCTCTATCTCTAATAGAATTGCCTATACCATTAGTTATAATACAATTGAACAAAACAGTAAAGAACAAAACCGACAAAACCAAACCATTGGAGACATTGTAGGTCTTCAAAAGTAGATAAAAGTCAACGAGAATGGGCGTTATAATGAATCTCATTATCTTCACAGCTGCTGCCTAAATTTTCGAACCTGATACTATCCAGCAAAACAGAATAGGGGAACATCAGTTAAAAACCAGATGGTGAGAGTAATACAGGGCTTTAAATCGAGGTAATGGAAAATCGAAGTGGGTTACTATAATATATCCTGTTATTTTTTTTCCTTTAATTAAAAGGATAAAAATTTTAAAAAAGTAAATAATGGAGTGGAGATTGAGATAAAAGAGGGCATAACAACGAAACAGCACAGATCAAAACATAACCATTTAAGCAGAATAGTGTTTCACCACCAGATAATCCTGACCTAAAAGTAGTTACCATATTGTCTCTTTCCTTGAAATCCTTGAGTACAACTTCGTATACTGTAGCATTAAGTATATCAAAACAGTGTAAAACCATTTAAGAGAATGACAGCATTACAGAGAATTTAGAATCGACTAACAGAAAATGAATAATGGTTTCTGTATAATCTCCTTGTCTTTAAAAGGTTTTTGCTTATACTATCATACATAATAAAATCCAGTAAGATACAACCTATTTAGACCATTGGAGACAGAAGGACAAAAGCTAGATGAGACTTCAAAACAAGATGATACTGAATCAGTATTACCTATTAAGATGTCATTTTCTCCAAAATAGCTGTTCCTATCATCCAATCTTCTCTGCCTCATTTCTGTTGAGCTCTTATTCTGTCAGTAGCTGTCAGTTTGTCTTCTTCACTTTGTTCTCTGCTCCATTAGTTGTGGCCTCCACTATTTCTGGATTCTTTGTATTTTTCTTTTTTTAGAATATCCTGCAATACTCTCTGTAGAGTTGAATTGGTGGTTGCAAATTCCCCCAGTTCCTCTTTATCCTGGAAGCACCTTGTTTTTCCATCAATTTCCAGGGACAGTTGTGCAGGATATCTCAATCTTGGCTGGAGATTATTATCTTTCAAAGCTTGAATTATTTCCCCCCATGCTCTTCGTGATTTGATGGTTTGTGCAGAGAAATCTGCTGTAATTCTGATGGGTGCTCCCTTGTAAGTGGTCTGTTTCTTGTCTCTGACAGCTTTTAATATTCTGTTCTTGTATTGAATTTCTGGAATTTTTATTATTATATGCCTGGGTGTTCCTCTGTTTGGGTTGTAGGTAGCTGGGGTCCTGTATGCCTCATACATCTGAGTATCTTTACCTTTTGCTAAATTAGGAAAATTCTCCTGGATTATTTCTGTGAGTAGCTTTTGTAGTTCATTTGTTTGTGTCCCTACTTCTTCTTTTATGTTCTTAATCCTTAAGTTATGGATCCTCTTATCATCTTCTTGTCTTTGTATTATTGCTGTTTGTTTCTTTGTTATTTTTAAGAAGTTTTTCATTTCATTCTCCCATATTACAATTCTGCCCTCCAGTTCAGATAGTCTGTCCTTAGTTTCTTTCAAGCTGTTATGCCAGTCTTCGATAGACTTCTTAGTTTCTTGGTAGTCCCTTTGAACCTGCTTCACGTATTCTATGCTTTCCCTGTTTTCTCCATCAAACAATTCTCCCCTCTTTTTCTGTTCTTCCATTCCACCATCTGTTTTTTCTTGGGTGGGGCTTAGCATTTCTCCAACTATTTTGCATACTTCTAGCTTCAGGTCGTTGATAACTTCATTCCTGAATTGGTCTATGAGGCTCTCTATATGGTGCTTTATGTGTATTGGTGCGGTGTCCGCTATTGCCTGTTTCTCAGAATTGGGGGCCGAGGAGCCTTTCTTTTTGCTGCCTCTTCCCATATTCTCTGTTCCTTATATATGCAAGCTTATATGAGAGGCCCAGCTTCTCTCCCTGTCAGCCACAGCCTGATCGAATTGCGCCGGTTAGGTGTTCCCACTCACCGATGCGCACCAGGCAGCCTCCGCGAGGGCCCGCCCCTCCTGGCCTCCGTCAGGCTCTGGGATCTGGTTTGGGCCAGCCTACGGGGTCCGCCGACAGCGTCACCCAGGCCAGGCACTTTTCACCAATCCCGCCCGAGAGGGGAATGTGTGGCTGGAGTCGCCACTGCGCCCTGCTCCTGCAGGACTGCTCGGGCCCAGAAAGTCTGCTGGAGTCAAACTGTGGTGGAGTGTCAGTTTCTCTCACTCACCTCGCCACAAGTCAGAACATGCCTCCCTGCCCGTCCTGTTTTAGACTCCGTTCACAGACTCCCGTTCTCAGAGTTTCCGCACTTCTCTCTCCTTGCCGAGCCGATGTAGAGGCAGCCAGCCACTGCGCGGCAGGAAACCCAAATCGTGGCTTCCAATGGCACAGGGTCCAGCCTCAGCAGCGAGACTTTTCTGTTCCTGTTTTAGCACCAGGACTGCATTCCAAGTTGGTTTCTCTCAGCCGAGTTCGTTCCTGAGTCAGCAGAGCATAACTCCACCTGCTTATGTCTCTTTAGTCGCACCATACCTGGCTTCTGAGCCTAGTTTTTCAGAGAGCCTCCGGTAGTTGCTGTTATCTGTCCGCCATGTTCTCCCGGAAGTCCTTTTTTTTTTCTTTTTCATACCAGGAATTGAACTCAGGACCTTGTGCTTGCCAGGAAGGCACTTGTGCTACTAAAACTCCATTCTTATCTTAGTCACTTTCTTTGTCACTGGGACACAGTATCTGATACTTGCAACTTATAAGAGGAAAAGTTTTTAGCTCACAGCTAATAAAAGTTTAAGTCTACAGTCATCTGGCTCCAATGCAGGACAGTGTGGCAAAGGAGAGTTGCTCTTGGCATAGCAGACAAGAAGCAGAGAGAGTGGAGGAGCTGGGGAGGAGGATAAACCCTTCCAGGCCACACCCATAGGGACTTCCTCTCTGTCCAGGCCCTAACAGCAAACCAGCTCTAATTCCCTGTAACCACTTTCCAGAATTCTCACCTATGGGCATGTGTGGCTGTTGGAGTTTGTGTCTAGATACAAACTGTTAACAATTCCTTTGCAACTCTGCCTTCCCCCTACTTTGTGACTGATGACGCATATAACCTCTTTTAATACTGTGTATCCATTAGCATAGCTTTTCAGTTACTTTTAAGACTTTCATTTTCTAATTTCTGCTACAGATTTCAAAGTTATTATACCTATGTTATCCTACTATAGGATTTTATAGTTTTCCATACATACTCGTGGAGTTTTACCCTTTTGTATAGTTTCATGTTGCTTCTTATTGTACTTTTATTTCAACTTGATTTCCTTTAAGGTTCTTGTAGGGCAGGTCTAATGGTGATATATTGTCTTGGTTTTATTTATCTGGGAAGCTCTTAATTTTTTCTTCATATTTAGAGGACAGTTTTGCCATGTAATATTTTTTGTTGGTAGGTTTTTCTTTTTTAATTTTAGCACTTTGAATATAATGTCCTGATTATTTCTATCTGCTGATAATATTAAAGGGTTAATAGAAATTTAGTGTTATATAACTTTTCACATATTAGCATATATTATTATACTTCAAAGTGTTGTGTTTAAAGAATTGACACAGCAGCCAGGTCTGGTAGCACACACCTATAATCCCAGCCTTTGGAAGCCAAGGCAGTTGAATTGCAAGTTCAAGCCCAGTCTGGGCAATTTAGAACTTGTCTCAAAAAAAAAAAAGTGGGGGTGGGGAGGTTGAGAATGTGGAATGCCTGGGTTCATTTCCTGTAATGAAAAAAAGTTAATATATTTGATACATTTTATCCCTGTTATTCCTTCTAATGAAATGCAGGATGTAGAGTAATGGGAAAGAATGTGACCCTGGACCAGCGCACCTGATTTTGAGCCTTTGTTAAAAAGCTCCATTGAGATGAAATTTCCTCATTTCTAAAATCAGAATAATAGATCCAAGTTAGAGTTTTTATAAAGACCAAGTGAAATATATATTAAATAAAATATAATTAGTACTATCATTATTTTATTAATACCATAAGAATGGTCTTTTTATTTAATGGTTGGTGTGCTATTGATTTTCATGTTTGTTTAGCAGAAAATGAGTAACCAGAGCAAACCTCTTATAAAAGCAGCTGTCAAGTTAGTGGCTCATTATTTTTTTTCTTCTTTCTCTGTTTCTTGGTCAGCTTTTGAAGTCCCATTGGTTGGATAATTTTGCAAAAGACTCTGCCAACCCCGGTGTCATGGTGTTGCTGGGATGTGGTGCCTTATCCAGCACGTGTGGCCAGCTGGCCAGCTACCCCTTGGCTTTGGTGAGGACTCGCATGCAAGCTCAAGGTGAGGTTTTGGTTAAAGGATGGCACTGATGGAAGTTCCGAATCAGTCATGTGATGCTGAAACTTCAAGCCCTGCTGAAACAGCTGAGGATGGTTTTTAAGACACAGTTTTTCAACTTTTTAAAAATTTTTACATCCCTAAGATTTCTTTTTAGAAATTCTTTTTGTAGTATCTCTTTCTTCATGAAATTGTAATGCCAGATACACTGAATGTGTATGTGTCATTTATATATGAGCAGAATAAGGTTCTTCCTTTGGTCTGTGTTGAATGTGTGTTTTAAGAGCATAAAGTTTGGTACGTGGATGAATTTGGGTTCAGATCCTTGCCCCAGATCTCTTTAAGGTTTTCATGTTTTCTTCTATGAGTGGGAATGAGAAGAATTAGTATCAAGATACGTAAAGCACTGACTCTTGCTACATTCTTGGTAAACGATAACTAGAATTATTGATGCTGCTTGGACTTCACTTTTGACCTATGATTCCTCCTCACGGACACTTTCTCCTTCACTAGCTTGGGTTTACACTGTATGATACTGGTTCTTTACCAAGCTCATAGATTATTCTTTTTTTAACTGGTTTTTTTGTTTTGTTTTGTTTTTAGTTCTATACCCATCCTATAAAGTATGCATTCTGTGCCTTTCTTTTCCTTTCTCCCTTTTCTGCAGGTAGTCTCACCTACCATCATTTCTTTAAATTATAGATCTCAAGCATTTATTGCTTTGTCCTTCACCTCTCTTCCAAAGTCAGTCATCCCTCTTGGATCAAGAAGTCAGTCATTAATTGATAGGTATTTGAAGACTCTACGAGATGCCAGGGTTAGAGCACTCAACAAGTCAGATGTGGTTGCTGTCTTTTAGAGTAGAGAAGACCTACATCCAGCAAGTAACCGCATTAAACCACCTGCCCTTTGTTAGGGAAGCACAGAGCAAGAACTCAAACCTGATTCCAGCAGGAGACTGGGAAGACAAGTGAGGGTTTGCTGGGCCCAGATGGGGGCAGTGAAGCATTCTGTTCCAAGGAAAAGCATGTGTGAGGTATGAGCAGGAGTAAGCCATATTTAAGAAGCTGAGAGATGATCATATGGCTACAGAGGAAAATGCAAAGTAGAGAACTAAATGTTTTATATGTATTCTTTCATGTAACCATTGGAGCATGATGCTAATATTGTCTCCACTTTGTAGATGAGTAACTGGGGAAAAGAGAGATTAAGGAACTTCTGCATGGTTATATATTTGGTAAATAGTGGAGATAGAATTCAGACCCAAGGGGGTTTAGCTCAGTGACATAAGTGCCTGCTTAGCAAATGTAAAGTCATGAATTCAATCCCTGGTACAAAAAAAAAAAAAAAAACAAAAAAAAAAAAAACAAAAAAAAAAAACAAAAAAAAACAAAACCAGAATTCAGACCCAAGCAGTATGATTCAAACTGTTTCCTAGCAAAACCTGCCAGTCCGGCAGGCCAGGTCTTTGCCTGACTGCCAGATTTGCCATTTCTGAAGTCAAGTTCTGACCATTTCATACCATTCTTTGACACTCTTTAGTGTTTCAGAGTAAATTGTGAAGTTCTTAGCAGGAGTTCTAAACCCTCAATAACATGTTTGAAGAGGTGGGGCAAGGGAGATTTTTGCTGGTGAGATTCCCCTGCTAAAAAAAATGCATGGGTGCAAGACATCAGCAACCACAGCAGGGAGCTGGGCAGAGTGCAAGGCAGGCACTTCATTGAATTAATTCTTATACAAGTCGTTACCAGATATTTACATTCTTGCATGATGGCCTCACTGGCACATGTGTGATTATCTAATGCTAAGTCATGGTTATATAAGTGTGTCTCACTGTGTGCCTGCACTGGACAATGAGTTCTTGTCTTTATCATGTCCCCAGTTGAGTGGTTCCCACAAGATTTTAGGAACCTCCCCCCGCCCCGCTTAATTTTTGCTTCATCTCCACTTCTTTACTACCTCCCCCATGTCCAGCAGCTTGGTACTACTGTGTCTGCACAACTTGGCTCTCTGTACAAAAAGCACATCTGACAGTCAGCTGTACTCCTAGCGCTGTGTTTCTGTCCTAGCTACATTATTGTGGCAGCAGCACAGACTTTCATTTATACCTTTTCTTGCCTATTGAGATACTTTTCAAGGCTAAGATTCTCTGTACTTCTCCTAAACTTCCTGATCCTTCCTCTTACTTCTCCTACCTTGCAAAATTTAACTGTTCTCTCCTCACTGCTTAGTGAATGAACAAGGGAAGACGAGGTCACAGAGCGGTGTGATAGGAAGCATATGGCTTTACAGTTAATAGATCTTATGTTCTTGGCTCTACCATTTGCTAGCTACATGTTTTAGACAGACTTCTCCATCTTTCTAAGCCTTTAATTCTTTATTTATAAAATGACTGTATTTACCTTATAGTGTTAGAATGGAAAGTAACCTAATATGTAGCACACAGTGATCAATCAATAAAGTATTACTACAGTATTATCATCAGTTTCATAGGTAAGGCACTCACTGTTAGTTGCTCTACAAAGAGAATTATATACAAATATATTTTCTTGGACCTGTCGAAATTGTTTCATCCTTTCATTGTATTCTAGATATTGTTATGAATCCTGATTGTTTACTGTAATAATAATCAAACATACTTGAATAATGAATCAACCTATTTTTTCTTTTTTTTAAAAAAAATTTCTAGCCATGGTAGAAGGAGCCCCACAGCTTAACATGATTGGCCTCTTCCGACGAATAATTTCCAAAGAAGGAATACCAGGACTTTACAGAGGCATCACCCCCAACTTCATGAAGGTGCTCCCTGCTGTAGGCATCAGTTATGTGGTGTATGAAAATATGAAGCAAACTTTAGGGGTGACTCAGAAATGACATACGGAAGTTTTTGCTTCAGAACGACTATTAACATTTTCTACAATCTCTTCAATGTCTCCTTAGAATTGCAACATGTTCATGACAAAAGAAACTGTATTTTTTCCACAAAATGGAAGAGCATTTCATAAATTACTTCAAATATTTGGGTTCGATTTTGTGTATTAAGAAATTATGGTTTTAATGGTTTTTGAAGAAACCACATAATTGTATCTTTTTTGTGATTTGTTCTTATGCAAATGTGTGCCGTGAATCCTAAGTCTGAAAATGCACTTCCTTGAATTAAATTTGCTTTGCATGGTACAATTATAAATCACAATTCTTTATTTTGGTTGGTTCAGCTGTATGTCAGTTCCTTTATAAAGGAATTGTTGTCTTTAGAACTGATCAATGTTAAGACTTGTTTTATGTATTCTGAATGCCTTTGAAGACTTGTAAAATTTTACCAACAGAGCTATTAATAGAAAATCATTGTACCTAAAATATACTTTATGGCAGCTAAACAAGAATAGAGTTTATGTTCTTGTGTTTCTTCAAGTGGATGAGAAATGAACATAAGTGGCAGAATTCATGATGGAGAGTACTAAAATAATTTTAGTGAACACTTTCTGTCTTACTTGCATTGTTATTTGGTTCCTAGGATTACATTCTAATTGTCTTATTTGCTACTAAATTATCAACACAAGACACCTTATTTCAAAGATTCTGTTTATTTTGTCTTTGCTTTGAAAAGTAGCAGGGAATGAAACCCTTTTACTTGCATCAGTTTCTGAAGAGCATCTCTCTGTTTGTCCTTTGTTTCCTACTATTTGAATGAGATTTTGTTTTAATCAGGAAGGATTCTTGGGACCATTCTTGGTAGTCTTTTTAATGACCTGACGTGGGTTGAGCATGAGTGAATATTACATGCTCATTTCCTCCTCACTGGTGGATTTCTTTGAACCTGCTGTTTTCAGTTGGGAGGCATAAAGTTAAGAGAACAGTGCATAGTGATATTAGTATGTATTAATCTTATGCATTAGACATCCAGAGTTAAATGAAGGGCCTGATTTGTGAACATATACATCCATATTTTAACATGCCTCAAGTTTTAGGAACATGTTAGAAAATTATAAAATTTGTAGCTTTTAAAAAATTTTACTGAAGTCATTTTTATAGTCAGTCATCTTTTCTGATTTGTGATTAGAACTTAAAATGTATTTATTAGTTGAGATTATTCTTTCTTAACACTTTTTAGCCTTATTTAGTTTCTAATACTATGTGATATAAATTGCAACATTTTCACAAAAATCTATTGATGTAATAGACATTTATTTTATTTGAACCTACCTCTTTTATTTTGGGAACCAAAGAGAAAAAATGGATTTGCATTTGTGAAACATATTCTAAAATATAGTTTCAGTTATATTACTTATACTTCATGAAAGTCTTGATATTTTTATACTAGGTAATAATCATGGAACTCTATCTACAGGGTTATTTGTACTTTCGAGTAATACATAAAACATTAAAGTGTATTATTATATTAGCTCTTTTTCTCAAAAATATAGAAATGAACTGCTACCATTTATGAAATTTCTGCTGGTGAAAAACATGAAAATACTCATAGTTCATTATGAATTTAATTTGTTACTTGTTGAACATTGGTAAGGTATGAATGTGATTTATCTATGCTTGTTGTATCTTTTAAAAAATGATCTTGTATCTTTTAGAAAAATGCCTCAAGTTGAAGATTGCTTGCTTCTAGTATTTTGTGCATATTTACTTTCTCTTTTATATTAAAAATGTTTATTTTTAACATGACTTGTTTCCTGATTTTTTTTTTTTTTGGTGGGGGGTACCGGGGATCGAACTCACAACTGTGTGCTTGCCAGGCAGGTGCTTATGCCGCTGAGCTAAATCCCTGGCCCCTAGTTTCCTGATTTTTAAAATAATTTATAAGTAATGCAAAAATTGTGTCAGATAGCTTATATGATTGCAGTGGTTTGAATAATGGTCTTCACATCTGTCTCCTACAGTCTTTCTAAATATTTTGGCTCTTCCTGAGCAGCCGTAGCTCCTGTCTCTCTTATACATTTTGGCATAAGATCTTTTTTTTCCTGTCATTCACACTTAGGTTTACAGTGCTGGGAGTTCACAGTGTCAAGGAGGATGCAATGCTATAGGATTAGCTTGGTACATCTTGTGGAATGTGTTTGTATTGAAATTGTTGGAAACAAAATTTAAGTGAACTTACTGGTAAACAATTTTAAAACTTTTTTTTAAGGAAATGTAAAATTTGATGTAGAAACATACTAGAAAAGCTCTGCATTCCAACTGCAGTACTACTCAGACATCAGACATCATGCATCAGTCCTCTGCTACATCAAAAATGCTGCCAGGTTTGTTTGCCTTAGTCTGGTCTCCCTGTTAAGACAAAGCTTCTTGCAAACGTAGGTTGTGTTGACAGTAATGCGTTCGTGGGATATCGTCCCAGTGCATATGTATAAAAGAAAGTGTGACATGGTTTTCTCCTCCCTAAACGGGAATTTTGCAAGCCCTTTTGGCCTTGAGGAATTTCCGTTTTGGAGAAGAGGAACAAAAGAGCCACACTGTTTGTGGAGGGCCTCCCAGCAACCCATCCTGTCCCCTGCCCTGCTCAGCCCGGGGAAGCAGCCCCACCATGGTTTGTCTACCTGCTGCTTCATGCAGGGCGGGGCTGGGCTGAAGTCCCAGCTGCCTGGCCTGGCCTGGCCTGGCCTGCTGCTCCTCTCAGACCACAGTGTGAGTGAAGACACCTGCCAGTCACCACCTGCTGGAGGGTGTTCAGGAAGTATAACAGATAAACATATTCTCGGGTGTCAGTGGGACCAGATGCAGCTACAGCCACCGCGGGAAACATCTGCTATGAAAGCAGGAGTGCCTCGGTCACTCCTTTGTCTCTCAGTGAGTCTTTATTATGTGCCTACTGTGTGCCAGGGCCTCCCTCCTCTGAGGATGGGAGTTCTGTTACCAGAAACATTGAAAAATGGCCCCATTTCTGGTAATCATCTTTTCTAGCATAGCAAAATAGATTTCCCCACTGCTGTCCCATCACACTGGCCCATTCCCCAGGTAATATGTCTATTAATTCCCATTTCTCCAGGGAAAATTTTAATTTTTAAAGGCAGAATTAACTTACTTTTACAAGAATTACAGAGAATGTAAATCTTACCAAATTAAGGCTACAGAAAGGCTCACTCTTTCCTCTGGTGTCTGTGTCTGCTCATGGGTTATTTGGTTTTACAGTAATCCATACGAGATTTGCAATGTTGGAAAAAAGATTTGTTTATTTTTTCTTGATAGTTTCCTGTTTTGAAGTCACTTCCACAAGGCCAGATAATAATGAGTGATTTGTGTTTTGTTGCTCTTGAAAGTGGGGGCTGGTTTGATGCAGGGATTTCAAAGCATTCTAAAGTACCTTTCAAAATTAGGTTTATTCCAGAGCCCAGATTTCTCTAATCAGCCATGTGTTCATTGGGTTTATACCTATCTTGTTTCACAGTTCTTTTCTGCCCAAGGTGAATATTCTCTGCTCAGCGTGAATTAGTCTGAATCCTGACACTTTCCATCAGTGTCTACCTCAGATAGATAGCACTCAGCCCGTCTTTGACATCCTGTAAATGGTCCCGACATCAATCTTAGAGGACCAAGATGTACAAAACATGACATTTCCTTTAACTCCATTTAAATCTGGCAGGAAGCTCCTGTGTGATTCAGGGTTGTGCCAGAGACTTGGGGTCTTGGACTCTCTAGACACCCATTTATGGTTCTCATCAGTCACCACCAAGGGGTCCTTGGTTCTAGCCGGACCATCTTGGCATGGGAATAGGTGGAAGTACCTGGGAATGTGGTTTTTCCATTCTGGGAGAGCGAAGAATTGAATGGGGCTTACTGACTCCCCCAGTCTGCTCTCTTTGATCTTAAGAGCACCCCTTTTGCACTTCCCTCTTAGACTCCTAGCATCTGTTCTGCAGGCAACCCAGATGTTTCAAAAGACAGATGAAGTTTTAACTGAAAGTGACTTCTGTATTTTTTCCCCTTAAAAATCACTAAGGGAAGGAAACGGTAAAGGCTTGCCTCTTAGCGTGACATGAGACGAAAGGGAAAATGTAAGGGGAATAAATACACATTGGTATTTCACTAGGTTGTCTTGATCCAGGCTCTCAAACTGCATCTTGGAAGGAAGCCTCATGTACTGTAGGCAGGGAGTTCCACACATGGAAAGCATTGCTTGGTTCATTTGTTTTATCTGAGAAGTAGATCATTCCACCTACTGACTCCAAATTCCCAAAGCTTCACTGATAGATGCAATATGATTTCATGGCCAGACAGTTCAGTAAACAGTGTCTAGAGTAAAAAGTAAACTATGTAACCGAGCATTGACAGTTTTCAAAAGCATAGGGAAGCGATGTAGGAGAAGTGAAAATTGGCTGTAATGTGGAAAACAATGGTAATTCAAACTATAGAAATTCTGAATCTTAGCTGGTTTGATGATTTGCCCTTTATGGAATGCTTCCACCTCATCTTTTTAACCCCATCTTTGAATTCTTGTCCCAGGCTGTTTCTGAGAGAATCCAATTTCAGCTGTTTACCTCAGAGAGATCTGAAGTAGCAGAAGAATAATTTCATTTATAGAGTGGGGAGGAAAATACCAAAAGAAGCAGCTAACAGAGTTACAAGTGAAAAAGCAAGACAAGAGGCAGGAAGGGGTGGAAAGAAAGACCTGCCTTCACGTATGCCATGTCTACGTTAACTCAGTTTAAATTAAAACAATTATTTAAGACATAAAGCAAATTGGAATAATGCAACAAATAAAGTCAGAAGGGCAGAGCCCAGAAGAGCTGAATGATCTGGGGTCTAGTTCCCACCACTTAGCTTCACCTGAGTATGTCAGTCATGTTCAAAAGACACCACAAACTGAGGTGAATGATTGCGTGGATCTGAACAGTTGTAAAATAGTCTCTGTAAGAAGTTTCAAAAGCATTTTATGATCTTAATCATTGTGACAAGGTTTGAATATGCTTCCGACTTTGCATTTTTACCATTGTACAAGAAAAAGCACTCGGGGGCTGGAGGTTTAGCTCAGCGGCATAAGCGCCTGCCTTAAGCAGGCAGTCATGAGTTCGATCCCCGGTACCGATAAAAAAAGGAAAAAAAGAAAAAAAGAAGAAAAAAAAAAAAAAAAAAAAAGAAAAAAAAAAAAAAAAAAGAAAAAGCACTCAAAATATTGACGATCACTATAGAAATGAGAAGGGATTTGTTAGATGGAACACTTAGCACTTTATGTAATACTACTTTTTGAAGATGCACCTTACACACTACTGCATAATATTCGTTAATAGAAGGGAACATTTTGTGTCTTGGCCTTGAATGTAGGTGATTGATGAATATTTTCTGGTCATCTATCCTGACTTCAATAGAAGTTGTGGCTCTTGAATAAAAACTCTCTGGTTGTAGATGTAAACTTAAAAATTGTATTTTTAATCGGAAAGCTGTAATTGCAAGTGTTTAGGACTGTCATGTGATATTCCCATATACAGAAGCACTAAATCCCAAAAGGTCCTCGAGTAACTGTCAGTGACACAATCGAACACTAGGTGGCAGACTTAGCTCAGCCAACTCTGCGGACTCCAGGTACCTGGACAGGACTGTAAAGTTTACAGCTTTGCCTTGCCTTTTCCCTTTTCCTTGACCTGGAAAATCACTGGGCTTCCTTCTAGGCCAAATTTAGATTTCCTGCGCAGCCATTCTTACCTTGTTTAGAGGAGTGAAATTCGGGTCAGCCTGTTACCGTTCCAGGAGAAAAATTGACAAGGACCTTTTGTGTGGTGCTGAAGAGAAGAAGGGCTTGTTACTTTTCTAGCCGTTTTCAAATATAGAAATACTCCATACTTTACAAGTCAAATTAGAAACCGTAGAAAGAACAAGTATTACTGTTCATACAGAATCACAGGTAAGTGTTCAGATATGGAAATTGTAACTTCAGAAAATATTTTTGGGTACTTGCTTTCATAGTGTGATGCATATATTTCCATTTGCTTAAAATAATTTGCAAAGTGTCATAATTTATGATGGTAGTACAAGGGTGGTGAAATAAGAAAAAAATAAACAAGTAGCAAATGCACCACAAAATTTACTTTTCTCCTTTTTACAAGAGTTTTTGTTGATTTTAAGCTTTCTGGTTGATGTATTTTAAAAGAAGGGTTTCACATGAACAGAACTGGCTTCTATCTGGAATGACAAACATCAGAGGAAGAATTTAATAGGAAAATCAGGTAATTCAATCTGTAATTTTGTATTACTCTGGAATATTCTTTAGGTTCAAGAAACAAGTAGGATAGAAACTTCAGTAAGAAAAAAATAGAAATTAGGAAGTGGAAGAGGATGCTGGGCTGTGAAGTGATATGGGGGACCCCACTTGATCTAACAGCTGTCAGTTCATTTTCCCAGCTCCATCCCGATGGCGGAATTGAAGAGGCACCAGCTCCTCCACCTCTCATCCCCCCGCCCCCCAACTCCACGAGCTGTTGTCAGCTACCATTCTTTACTTCCCGTTCTTGCCTCTGGTCTGCTAACTCACCAGTAAAACATTGCTAAGTGCTCACCCCTATAAAAATGCCAGAGTCTGAAAACCTTAGGGGGAAAAATGCTATAAAATGTAAAAAGAAAGCCAAGGTGATAAAACTGGCCTTGTTAATCTGCTAAACTCCATCAACCCTGCCAGAAACTGAGAGGTTTTCTATTTCACCTCTTTTCAGTTCATTTCCTCCAAATTCTCAGGG